GCAGTAAATCCCTGAGAGGGTCAGTAGATTGAGTAGTAGAGATGCCTGCGCAAGTTAATAGGAGGTTACTGGTTCAAATCCCCCCCGTCAGTTTAAGAGGATCTCTCACAGGCCCTCATCATACAGCCCCATGCACAGTCCTGATGATAACAGATCGTTGAGAGTAATTTCATCAAATCAGAGTTGTAGCATCTTAGACATTTCTGTATCCTTACCCCTCAGGTAAAACTAGTGCCAACCCCAACACCAAATCAGACAAACCAGAAGGCACTCGCTTCATGGTGGAAGTTAATTCCAAGTACTTTGAGACGCCATCTACACTCTTTGTCCCTTCACCTTTGACCCTGAAGCCCAAGTCAGCGGCAGAGATTGTCACCAATGGTCACATGGTGGACCGATCTCCGGCCGGGCTGGTTGGAAATACAGGTAGAAATTTTCCTGGCATCTTAAAAATTTCATGAAAGTTCAAATACTGTGTTTGTTGTCTTTTATCAAGGATGCCTTTGGAACCAAAACTCTTGTAGTGGGATACTTTTGGTTGCTGTGCAGCCAAGAAGTTTCTGAAAGTCTTGGTTGTGTTCAAAAGGTCGGATGTAACAGATGTGTGGAAAAATGTCATTGACATGTGATGCCAAAGTTGATCTGACAACACCTTGTTGTTTTACTTAATACCATTAGAGTGAAAATCAATCATCTTATGCTTTTCTGTATTGAGGTCTAAGGTAGTTTTGACATGCTTTAGTCAAATTGTGAGAAGTTGAATATTTTCATTCTTTGGCCAATAGGTGTCATTCTGGACGATGGAACAGTCAGCCTACCGGTCAAATTCACCCCTAAGAGTGCCGGTCACTACCCATGCCGTGTTGTCCTGCGGTCACCCAATGACATCCGGGTGTACTTGATAGAGTGTACGGTCAATCCTGAAGGGACAGCGGCTCACATTGAATTCACTGCACCGGTTCATCAGTCGGTCTCACAAGAAATACCACTGGTAAGCAGTCCTTGTCAGAATGAATTTGTTTTGATATTTATAAACTGTGATGCTGAACTGGCAGATTTTTTAAAGACTTTGTTATACTTATGCGCCTTTTTATTTGTGGATTAATTAGTGTCTGTTTTGATTTGAACAGAAGATTTGAATGAGTCAGATTCTGTCAAAACCGAGAAATCTTCTCAAGCTTTCTCCCAAACAATTTATCTTCTTTGAGAAATTGATTTTGGCCGTAGTAATTAAGAAAGCTGCTCTTACAATAAGCTGAAAGCAAAAAAAAGTGAATAGTATAATTCTAAGAAACTGGTTGGCATCCAGAGTCACTGAAGTATTGAGAAATGGGGTCAGGTCTCTCTTACAAGTACATTGCAGAAGAAATATTGTCAAATGAGCATCCTTTTTTCTACTGAGGTAAAATTCTATTCTAAAATAGCAATCAAACAGAGCCAACTAGTCACTTTGGACGGGCCATTTTCCATCCAGGTTAATCAGACCAGTGTTGATTGGCCACTGTCTGCCTCCATTGATGGTCAAGGATTCTACGGTCCACCCTTCATTCTAGCCAAAGCTATGCAGACTACGATCTACCCGCTCATGTTCAGACCAGCCTATGAGACTCTTGTCTCTGTAAGTCATTTCATATTCTACTTTATCTGCTGCCAGTAGCCCTCTTTGGTGCCTAGCCTGACCAATCATTCTTGTCCATTTTGTTGAGATATTGTGTTGCATTTTATCAGTCTTGAATATTTTAGATATGTATCTGCATAAATGAAGATCTGAATGACAGTGCCTCATTTAGTGAAATATGAATTCATTCTAAACAGTCTATATCCCCTTTGTTTTATTGCTTGTCAAATGCAGAAGTACATTGTAAAGGAGAGTTTTCTTGACTCATCACACCGAGTTAATTGTGTACATTGTTCATTTTTATAGATTCTCTATTGAAATATTTTTGTTTTGGCTGGCTAAGTCGTTTTAAAAGTTGTATTAGATTTCCTGCTTTGTGACATTGGGTATAAATTTCCGTCATATGGTAACTTTTCAAACAAGCCTGCTCGCGAAGGTGGTAAAACCCACTTCAAGCTTGATTATGTGGTAAGGTGTTATGGCACACTTCCCTCCCCTATATGCACACTCTACCCCTCTCACTTACCTTACACCAAACTGGTGCAGTGTGACTGGAATTTATGTTTCAACTTGAAAGGAAGATCGGGAACCAGTCTTCAGATTGCATACACTCTTGTTGCACGTTAAGGCTTATTGGATACCGGGGAACTCTTGTGCATAAACCGAATTTCTCCACATTGACACCAGTGACTGGATACATGTTTACAGAGCCAGGCACGATATTGGTCACAGCAGTCACAAACTCACAGTCCTAATACTTAATGATCACAGTAGCACAGGTGTTCATTTGAAGTACAGACAGTACTTGCATTGGGAAATACCACACCACTGACACAGCATTGATTGGGAAGCATTTTGCAAATAGTGTCCAAACAAGGCACAGGGTGTTACCTTGAATGAGATTTGCACAATCTTCTACTCCAGTGATCTGTTCTATTTCCATGCCCACTTCACTTCTCTTTTTTCTTTCCTATGAAGCTTTTATACCAATCTGATTGACGCGTGAGATTTTTACAGAATCCTGTGATGTATCAAATCTGCCGATTCTAAATCTTAAGAACTGAAAAGAAAGATCACCTCTTTACAAAGGGTTTGCAGTGCTAAGTGCATTTTTAGGATTTTAGTAACAGTCAAAAGGAATGCTTTCTTCCAAATTGATTTACTAGTCAGAACTTCACAGAATTCAGAACCTGAGGATTGGTCAACAAGTTACATTTAGAACCTTGGTTTTACTTTCTCCATCAGGGTAAATTGGTGTTGACAAACAGCGAGGATGGAACGGAGCACCATTTCCGACTGAAAGGCGAGGGTCAGAAACCGTTGGCCCTGGATCATGTTGTCCTGGAGTGCCAGGCCCGGCAGTCGTAAGTACAGAAATGCTGTCAGAAGTGCTGGTTCTTTTAAGAAAACCACCTGTTATCGGGAACACAGGCTGTTTTCAATCAGCAGTACCGGCTGTAACCAGTTGGAAATACTAGTTGTTCCCATTTAGTGATTCCGGCTGTTCTCATTTGGGAACACAGGCTGGTCCCAATTGCGAACACAGGCTGGTCCCAATTAAGACTTGCTTTTCCTGTAGCAACTGTGTTAAATTTTATGGTGTCTGTGGTGTGGAGTAACGTGTCCCATCTCATCTTACGTTCTGTCCTAACGCAGGATGAAGCGGGTGATTCGTGTACCTAACGTCACCCAACAAAAGTTAACCTACCGCGCCGTGTCCGACCTCTCCATCGTCACCGGTGCTGTGCCGAGCGTCACCGTCTTATCAGGCAAAGAGGCAGATTACACCATAACTGTATCACCATGGAAGCGTGGCACATTCAGGGGAATCCTGTCCTTCATTGCTGGTAGCACCGATAATCTCAAGTAAGCTTATTTTTATCAATCATCGTTTACCTTTGTTTTAGCAGTGTTTTAATGGCTTGGGTAAGATTGAGATAATGAACATGCGCTGAACACTAGCATTGCTTGGTCAGTAATATGACTCCAGTCGTGTGGTTAATTGTTAGATTTACTGCTTCCTATTTTTAAGTTTGTCTTTCTTCCTTGTGTTGGTTTCTGTTTCTGTTTCAAGAAAGAAATTCCTCTTGTCTCCACAGGGATGAGCCAGCCAATGGAGATAGCGACACCCAGTCCCGCCCAGATTCAGGCACACGACCAATCAGCAGCAAGTCCTCATGTAGCTCCGCCTCTGTCCATGTCCACCAATCCAAGCCCGGCTACCGTGTCTGGTATTCCATCGAGGTACGCTGCAGCCCACCTCCCCCTGAGCGCAACATCGACATCCTCTGTGCAGCTCAGTCGGCTGTGGTCATGGAGGTAGAGATCTTCAACCCGACTGTGGATGACCTGACCTTCACGACGGTCATCGAGGGGGAGGGTCTTAGAGGAGAAGGGGAGGTGACGCTAACCCCGGGCCAGAAGAAGATGTACCAGTTGGTATATGCTCCAGCCATCGTTGGGAAGTCCGAAGGAAGGTGCGAGATTAACATTAATCAATGGATTACTAAATCTATCAAATTCTAAAAAATGTAGGAATTATGAAAATCAACTAGCTGTGAAACTTCTCTCAATTCCTCAGCATATTTCATGGTACACACTGGCTGGTGCTTGTTTATTTCTCAGAATTTGTATACCCTCCTTTCCCCCGAAAAAGGACACAAAATAAATCATCCCCTGCCAAGAGCAACAGAAGTTCAAGTGCCAGAAATGCTTGGCCTGTCCTTGATCATAATTACCTCTCTTCATAGTCATAAGTACAACTATATAACTGCAGCTTTTGAAAAAGGATCCCTAAAATTCCCCCAAAAAACCCACCCAGTTAGAAGACACTTTTTGTCAACTATTTCTATAGCTTGCTTTTCACCAGCTTACGTACGGTAGCTGTTTTTCTGTCCTGCTTTTCAGCTTAATCTTCCAGAATGAAACCGTTGGGGAGTTCTGGTACACCCTTAGCTTGACTGCCGAGACCCCAGCACCTACCATTCTCCCCCACATTGAGTGTGAGTTGGGTAAATGGAATTGGCAGTTCATCTCTCTCAGCAACCCAACGGAGGAGACCTTAGAGCTGACTCCAAGCTGCTCCAATACCAACAACTTCACCTTGGAAGTCGAAGGGGGAACTAAGGTATTGAAACTCTCGTGTAGTTGGTCTATCTACAGATCTTTGAGAATCGGTTTGTAAGGCATGTTTTGGTTTGGTCCACACCTTCCTAGACATAAACACACTTGGCATTTCCATTTATTTTTGTGTGTCATTAACCCCTTCACAACGGGATTATTTTGACCGCGACTGCTGGGCTGTGGCATGCCCTGAATGGAGGGCTTTGTCCAGCAGCAGGCCCCATTGAACCAGCAGGTGCATGGTGAATAGACTGTATGTGTGGTATGCACTAATCCTCACACGACGGTGCGGTAGTAGCAGTCCTCCGTAGCGAAGGGGTCAAAGAATTAAGAATGTTGTCACAGAAAAGTCATTAAAGAAGGTAAACACGAAACTACAGTTTTGTTGAAATAATATTTAGCGCGGATTAATTGTAAAAGGTCAAATCAGGTAACTTCAGAGAAATTTAGATTTTCAAATTTGTTTCATGTTTACATACTTCGTAGTTTATGTCAGCTTGTTACTGGAAAAGATTTTATGACTGTGCAGAAATGTTTTTTTTACATTTTTTGTGGTTCACAACAAGGCAAAACATGAATGCAGTTTTATATATTTCAAGGACATTGACATGGCTGGAGAACATCTCTTCGGGTTTAAAGTTATTTTGGCAGGTCAGAGTAGGAGTTTCATGAGTGGATATCCTGACAGGAACATTGCATTACAGCAATATTTAGTTACTGAACTGTGTCTACTGAATTTCCTGATCCAAAGGAGAACATTGAAATGGACCACAAGTGATCTAACTTTGTAGACTTAGAGTGTTCGGCTTGTAATTATGTCTGTCTTGGTTTCCTGATACCCAGATCATCCTGGCGCCCCACTCCATGCTGGAGATTCCCATCCAATTCATGCCTTCCTCCCTGGGCCAAGGCAACCACCTAGCTCGGGTAGCATTCTCTTGTGAGCAGCTAGGGGACTGGGTCTTCATGGCCTCGGGTACGGGCTTGACCCCAACGCCCCTTGACCCAGTCAGTGTCAGCGCCATCCTAGGGTCCAACACCTCACTGATCATACCCTTCAGGAACCCGCTCAACGAATCTGTCCTGATTGACGTAGTATTGACTGGTAAGCAGTGGCGAAATGATCGTTGATACTTGCTGTTACCCCTGAACAGCAGGCCAGTACTAAAATATGCTTGTGTGACCAATCAACTTCAGTCATGATCACACTGTAAAGATGAGGCTAGTCAAATTTGAAGTGTGAGGTCATTTCAGTTTAAACCACACCCACTGCACACGTGCACTGCACATAGGGTCTGCAGAGCACTTGGCTGCTTTCCAATACCCTACATCAGCTCCGTCTCATGCTTCAACTGTTTTTAACTTGCTGACTTTGAAGCTGTAAGCGCACTAATTAGTCTAATAGTGCCACAAAACATCATATAAGATACAAGAGAGCAAAAACTTACAGTAATCCAATTTGATTTAAACGCTTCAGGCCCACAATCGGGGATTGGTTTCGGGGAGGAAGCCTCAGACAGAGTAGAGAATTGGAAAACAGCCCTTGAACCAGCAGAGGACCACTTGATTCACACAGCCTGTATTAAACAACCATGCATGGTCTGCATATCCACACATGTAGCACTCTCAAATTAAAGGATCATTCTCAGCAATTATTTATTTACTACTTCCAACTGTAAAAGAACGGAGACAGGATAAATGCCATAAATAGGACGTTGCTGGAAAATGAAGAATGAGCCAGCGCCTGAAATCAAACATTGGTGGCACTAGACTAATTTGAATATGAATGACAGTTGTAGGTGAAAGGCAAATAAGGTTGTACCAAACTAAACAGGGGTGTCTTTTTTATGTCACCATCACACAGATAACACAGATCTACTGGACAGGGCTCGCGGCAAGCTGGAACGCAACAAGATCCAGACAGACTCTGCCTTCTGCTTGCTTCTGAAACACACTACAGGGATTCCAGTGGCATCTAAGAGCACCTTGGATATCCCCCTGACCTTTGCCCCCGACAGCATGAGGCTACACGAAGCGCTGTGTGTGGTGTCTGTGAAGAGGGAGGATGGGTCTAGTTGGGAATATGAGCCTTGTCGGGATCCTGATCATCCTCACTCCAGGAGGTAGGTGGGAGATCTAGATGAGGCACTGTTTGATCTAAAAGGCTGTGAGAATTGAGCTTAATTTCACTGGCAACTTTTGGGGTAAGTTAGCTTCATTACATAAACAAGTAGAAGATAAAACTGCAACGCAAACTGTTCAAAATTTCCTCCCTTTTTTACTCCAGGGACTATGATCAGCGAGACATGCAGGGCGGCTTGAGAGATATCCGCTGGCTCTACCCCATCCACGGTATTCCCGAGTCGCAGCCCGTCATCGATCGTGGAGCCGTCATCAGCTGCCAGGCACGCAGTCGTATTGAGGAGAGGTTGGAGGTGTCATTGACTGGTGCCGTGCCCAGCTCTGCCAGCGGTGACCAACGCCGTGTGACGACTAGAGCTGTCACCCCTAAAGGACTAGAGAAAGCTCATACAACAGATGGTGTAGTGGTCGGGGAAGGTATTTATTGAATATATGCTAGGGAGAATATAGATATAATGACCAATGATTAAAGGCACTATAGCCTGCCTGAGATTCTATATATATATAGACTGGTTATAAGGGCACCTTTGCCTGTCTATGAACCAGAAGGGACTGTGCCCAGAACAGAAGGTTAGGAGAGTTTGTGGAGATATTGAGATAACTATTTGAACAGCAGTATTTCATATACTCATGCATATTGACTGACAGTGGAGGCACTAGTATACATGTATTTCTATGCAGTTGCCAATTGCATTTGACATCAACTTAAAATGGCCAAATGATGGGAGGAAACTTATAATAGTTTTATAGTTATTAAGATTTTCTAATTTCCAACTTTCTAGTAAATGAAACCATTTTGTTTCTTCCCAGGAAACACGGTAGCCAGAGAGTTTTCCTTTGACGTTCTCTACGGTGATGAAGAAGCTGAAGCCCATCTAGAGAATGCAGTCTCCCTCAACCTGGTGCGCAAACAGAGAGACAAGCTGTCTGGTATCGTCAGACTGGTCTTCAATGTGGTCTTTGCTCCCTTCAAAGTCATGAAGTGAGTCCTCTGAATTCTTTGCACATCACCTTGGCAAGATTTCATTTCATTCAGTCCCATGGTATTGCTTTCTAATTGGCTATTTATACACTTGCAATTGGCAAAGTTATTTGAAGAATGGCATTCCAATACAAGGTAATATCTTTTATCTTCTTTAAATCGCACTTATATTAAAAATATTCACATCGATTCCAAACTTATTGTGATAGATTTACTATTTTTGGCATTTGTCCGTTTACCATTGGGTTTTCTTCTCTTACTTTGTGTGGTACATGTGCCTAAGACTTTGTATTATTGGTGTGTTGTTTTTTGTGTGCTTTATGAGTTGAGTATGATTTGGAACCCTGCATAACCTGAAGACTGGGCTAAGCAAGCCCAGAAATTAATGCTTAGCAAATTTGTATAATCAGCAAGAATTGGCAGGGAGCCAGTCAGAGGCAATGTAATTAACATGAAATTTGCTTGGTGACTGTTTTCTGCTTATCAAACATTTTGTATGCTAATAGCAGTTCAGTGTGGGACTCTATGCTTTCTCTTCTTGATGTTCTTTGCACAGCCATGACGTACAGCTGTGCGTTACCGCGGCAACCGGCGGGGTCTGGCGATATCCTCTCCGCTTCACCTCCACCGAGCCCACCGTGGATGATGTCATCACTATCGAGTCGGTGGGGCTCAACAAGGAATCATCAGTTGGGTTCAGACTTACCAGCCAGGCAAGGTGAGTTCTTCAAGTAGGTTCTGTGTAGGGCAAGAAAATGAAATGTAACGAGGAAAGCAGGGCCATTCTGGACTTCAACTCCTAGGCGAGGCAGGGATGAAAACTTGTCAAAATATTTGGTCTCAGACCTCATTTGTGAATAGTCCTTTAATAACCTGTCCTTTTATTGAATTAAATTAATTAACCAGTAATATGCTTTACAGAACTGTAACAGGGTAACACAAAATAGTTGGTATCTTTTAGGACAGCCTCCCCCCCCCCAAAAAAAATGATCAGGTAGACTATTTTATTTCTGATGAGGTAGGTGTCAGGAGAACTGTTCAACTGGGAAAGTGAAGGCATTATTATTGACCAGGAATCATCAACGGTGAAACCTTCACTAAAGTCATAAATTTGGCATAATTTCTTACAACAGAGTTTAGATTCTATGTTAGAGATTTTATATTGCAAAGGACTGGCGTACCTTGGCTGGTTGTTTCAGAAAGAAGTCATTTTTTTGAATTGATAAAGTGCAGTTCTTTTAGTGTGTCTGTTGCCTTGAGCACAAGGTTTCACTGATAACATGTGGCATTTGTAGTTCTAATGCATAACACCTGCACATCCAATAACACAGCCTTTGAAAGGGATCAAACATGAGACATCGAAAACACCATCTGGATTACGGCTTCTCTGAATCGCGACTGAAATCTTTCCCTGTGGAGTCAAGGTGTGCTTGGATGGCTGAACACGTTATCTGGATGTGTTCAGTAATTGTTGACAGTTGCTCCGTCCGGGGCTTGGGGTCAAACCAATTTCCCTTGCATATGTACGAGTTCCTTCCCCCTTGCGTGAGCTGTCTGGGGACCTTCGGCATTCACCGCCCATGTTTTTCTGCTTCCCCTGGTATTCAGGTCAGCTGGTTGATCCACTAGGTTCATCGAGGATGTCAGGTCTTTAGTGGACAGATTTGCAGGTTTTGCTCTTGTCAAATGTTGACTCAAATATCACGTTTGGGGCTGGAGGACTTAGAGGAGTTCCCCTCGTGATCTGACCTCTGTCAGATTACAACACAGAAATGACTTTGCCGAGAAATTGTGACAATGGCAGGAATCGAACTTCCAACTGTCAAAATGCCATGAAGGTTTGCTACTATTAAAATGAGCTATATCCAGCAATCTAGGAATTAAAAAGTTCCCCATGTTGATCAAATCTTCTTGAGATTAGAGACAGAAATTGCTTTGCAGAGGAGTTTTGACTAATGCTGGAATTGCACGTGCGACTGTCAAAATACCATCTTCGTTCTCTGCTATTAAACTGAGCTAATCTAGCAGTCTAGGAACTACAGAATGTCGATCAGACCTACTTGAGACTTGAGACAAAAATTGCTTTGCAGAGGAGTTTTGACTAATGCTGGAATCAAACCTCCAACTGTTGAAATGCCATCTTCATTCTCTGCTATTAAACTGATTTATATCTAAACCTGTGGTGACACTGGGCATGATATTCATGGCTGAGGCTTCAAAGAACACACATGCTTATGCAAGCCACTGGCTAATAACTATAACCATTAGACAAGCCTAAGACTAGTAGACATAGCCTCGTCTCTCCCAACCAATGATAATGTTCTTGGGTACGAATGGTTTAGTTGGTTGAGCACCTGTGCATTCTTCCAAAGGTAATGAGTTACAGGCTTACTACACTCAGATGTCTTCATTTCAGTTCTATAACTTGCATTTACCTTTCATGCTGTGATACTTTAGAGGTAACTTTTGTTGGGTATTGTGCAAAGATATTTTGTGATTGTAGATGACACTAGAGGGCAGTATTGATGAGACCATTAGTCCAGATACCAATTCATTAGGAAACCTTTTTTTTTGATACCTTCCAGTGCCACACTTTTCACTTCCATGCTTCCTTTGATAACATTAATAAGATCTCTGGAGCATCCTGCAAGGGATTAATATCACCTGGCATGAAATACAGGGTCTGTCAGCTCCAATTTGCCAGCCGCCCGTTGGCTGACGTCTTTGTGGTTTCTCACAGCTGGTCCTGGGTTCCGTTTCAAAACATTGGGCCCAGACGCGTGGCTCTGTCATGTTGTTGGCAAGTCCTCCGACTTGTCTGTCGACCAAGGGGAAATCTTAATGCTTAACCCTATTAGCTTTTAACTTTTAACCCGTAGTAGTTAGATATCACAGTTGAAGCTGTGGCCTCTATGTGACATTTGAGAGCATTTCGTGTTCTTTGCACTTGAAAACTTCATGAAATCCAGACGTGGATATTGCAACGGATGTTGCATTTTAACAAAATGACAAATTTAATTGGGTGCAAGTTGAGCTCTCATAAGCTTCCTGGATGGCTTTAATACAAGTGTGCTGGACTTTTGCCAGTTTGTCCTACGGGATGTGTTTCAATCAGAAAGTAAGACATTCCGGAAACGATGGCAATTAGGGTTTTTCTTGTGTTCATTTCAAGTCTTAGTTTTGCAATATTTTGAAAAGAAATATTTGTTCTCTTTCACCAGTCTGTGTTTTGTGTCTTTAATTGAGTTCAAAACAAGACCGACAAAGTGGTGTGGTTGTAGCAAGTCTGACTGATCAATATCCTTCAACAAACTGGTTGTGATCATCCTTTTGGCAGTCACATGTTTTCTACAGTTTGTGGCTTCCAGTGAACCACGGCTTTTCTTGATATGCCCTTTATTGGGATAGTAGCTTTTATCTAAGAGCCACCTGCTAACCCTTGGTGATTCTCCTTGCAGATCATGATTAGGTCCAAATCTCGTACATGCATGGTTCTAACAAAATTGTCTTGGGAGATGACTACTTTTTTACGACCACTTCTTTTTTAGGTCGGGGGATGTCAGCAAAATTGGTTGCAATTCTCTAGAATGTTTTGAATGTTTCATGATTTAAGAATTTTTGAAGAAAAATAAATGGGAATGTTTGATTAATTAACCACTTGCTGCCGGGTGCCGTAGGAAATGCAGTGTCTAAAAACAGGCGATTTTCAATATGTTTGGTTTTCAAAAATCTTCAAAAATTTATACCTTTTTTCCTCAACGCCTAAATCCCATCCAGTGACTGTCTGGTGGCTACTCTAATCTAACAGACTATTGATGCCCGAGTATTTCAGCCAGGCCTGCTGTCTTGTAAAAAGAGCCCAGATTGTGTGGTGTCACATAAGTTTCTTTTGTTCCCAATCTTTCAAAACAATGAGGGATTTCTTCCACTATTGACAACTGAAAAATGTTGGCAATTCCCAGCAGCTTGGTCTTTTGTAACAAGACCCAGTGCTCTTGTCCAATTTCAGGCACCCTGGCTATGTGTACAAACCCAAGGTACCCGACAACGGGCTCCCCGGCACGGACGTATATAAAAAAAACCTGGACTTGCAACGCCTTTGTATGAAAAAGAAGCCAACCAGCGGCCATTTTACCGAGCCGAATACAAAGGCGTGGGTTGGCTCCCTACTATTGACGTCAGGAAGAAGAAAGGCGGGCATTANCCGGCAGCAAGCGGTTAAAGACGGGACGGGCACCATGAGGGGCATAGTATCTGAATACTCCTTGACTTTCATTCTCAGGAAATTGGCTTGCCATCAACTCTACTAAGAACTCACTGTCCAACAGTTTAAATACTTTCTCAACACGTTGAATCCTCCTTTTATTTCTCTGTTCCTCAGACACCCAGTTGCATTCACTGCCTACTTTGTCGCTGGCAGTGACCAGGAGTTCACTGTCAGCCCACAGTCCGGGGAACTCAAGCCCCTAGGGACCAGCGGCACGCTGGTAACAGTCGGCTTCAAACCAAAGATCTACGGCAAGAGCTACCAGGCCAAGCTAGTAGTGCAGGTAAACATGAACATTGCTGAGGTCTAGAAGTTTTAGATCTCCAAACCAGAAATGCTGAATATTTAACAGGCTTGGTGGATGGTACTGTGGCTTAAGATTTAAATAATGATTCACAGAGCCCTGCCTCCAAATACCTTTTGCCCCGCCCCCATTCTGACTGCAGTATTCCCTAGTAATGAACCTCATATCTTTAGCTTTATTTGATGAGTGTGATCTTTTTCAGTTTCCCTGAAATGTTCTTGATCCCCATCGGCATTGTTGCCATTGAAATGTTAAGAGTTTGGCACTATTAGAGTAACCGACAACAGGGAATTTTGCAGGATCCAAACAGAGAGTTTGATTCAGCAAAGTGCTTGATGCAGAAAGTGGTTTTTTTTTTCCATGGTCACTTTTTCTCCCCCCCAGTGTCATCACTAAAATGTCTCATAAGCACAGAAGACATTAACATACAATACAACTGTTCAGTCACAGTTGGTGCAGTCTTGGGAAAATTAGGCAGCCCTCCACTACCCCCGTTTTCCTTCTTCTTAGATTTCCCGCAAGCTCCTCTTGGAACTAGTCCAGCCACCAGTCTTTGGCTCAGGTGCTTACCAATATGAGAGACACTCCACATTTTCTTTCCATGTCCATGAAATACACTTTGCCAATTCTATGATAAACTAAAGGGATAACTTTTTTTTTATTAAAACAACAATTTTTTTTACAGGATCACAGAGAGATCCACAGGGCAGAAATGGGCAGTGTTTAAGACATGGCTCCTGTGTACAATGTAATCTTTTTGAATGCCTTTCACTTCAGACTGCTTTTTTAAAGAGGTATCCATACTTACGGGCCCTTTGTAGTAGAAATTTCACAATTGTTTGTTTAAAGGCAATTTGACATGTCTACAAATTCATAAGATTCCCTTGTAAAATGGAAAGAAACAGATTTAAAAAGGTTTTGGATGCATTTTATTGCACAATTCCCAGGTAAACGTAGAAATGAATATTCCTCAACTGTTTAAAAAATCGCAATTTTGCCATTTTGGCCAAATTGTGACTTTCTCCCAACATTCACAAAGATCTGGTGAAATACGATCAGCCTTTTATGAGCCATAGTCTTGAGAATATCACACTCTTGATGACCATTTCCCTGATGTCATTCTTCAGACTGCCGACATGCAGTGGACTTATTCCCTAGTGGGTGTAACCCCCGAGTACGTCCCACCAACAGGCCAATCCCAACGGCCCATCGCTGGACCCCACACTAGTGGGACGCGACACAGCAAACCGAGGAACTACGTCCTGGAGAATCTGAAACTGACCACGACTGCAGTGTCTTCGCCCATCAAAGGAGCGCCCATTAACATGAAGTAAGCCTGGAAAAATGTAAGATTGGATGGGAACTGATTGTGTGGTGTATATAGAACCTTCTTTCACTGTGAAACGATATTGTTATTTGTAAATAAACTTGTGCATATTCTATGAAGATGGTATTGGTTTAAACTGTTGTCTATCCGGTTCGTAAGTGACTTCGTCACAAAGGCAAACGCGCCACGATTCGCCAGCTCTCATCAGACAATCGCTGAAGGTGCACGTTAACTTCCAGTTCCGTGGTTCCATGTAAACAGCGATCAATGCATGTAACCCTATATGCAGTGCACGTGTACATTGGGCTTGGTTTAAACTGAAGTGATGTCACACTTCTGAACCGGAGCAAGTAAGGTGTTTCATGCAAATGTTGTTTTCAGCTCTTTCTCATGTCTGTCTTTGGAAGACTTTTAGGCAATAGGACAAGGATAATATACATATTTATATCTCGAAAGGATGCATTTCTCTTGTCTCTCTCTGTTATTTTGTCTTTATTCACAAAGAATGTAATGAGTGGGCCACAAAAAGTTGGAGATTAGGAAGAGAAATTAATTTCAAATACAGAATTAACCATTGGGGAGGCGGGCATGAGACAGTGTTTGCCTTCAAAGATATTGCAATGTCCATTTCTTTTTAAAGCTCACATATAGTTTTTGTTGTTTGTATTGGTTTTTCATGAAACTATTTTGGTGTAACTGCCTTCTGGTTTTGAAAATCTCCCTTGTACATATCAAATGTTCCTCGATGTATAATTGCACTATACTTTGTGTTTAGGTTCTTCTGTCAAACTTGATGCAAACTTAAATTACCTGTCATTTTTGTCATTCACCAAAAATTGATTAACTGGCCATTAAAATTAAGATTTCAAAATCCGTCCACTATTTGGGGGAAAAATGAGTGCATTGAGAATGTTTGTTTTCAGTGAGAAAGTTTGTATTTATGTCTTTATCCCTCTCTGAATTTGTTGATAGCGGCAAGCCTTGCAAAATAGTTAAAAATCTGAACACTTCTATCCATGGGGCACCTAGATTGCAATTATACTGAAAATTCAAGAGTAATCATTTTTGAAAAATCTGCAAGGGGTTAGCCTTGCAAAATAATGAAATTTTGGCCAAAATTTGACTTTTCTCCAAATCATTCAGAAATCATTTTCAAAGAAAAAGAAACATATTTCGATCATCTATGGAGCACCTAGATTTCAATTTTAATAAAAATTCAGGA